CACTGCTTTGCAGATTCACTGTAAATCCAAAGTCCTTCCAGGGTTGTTGCCATGCTCTTTACATGTATGCAATTTCCAATGGCATAAAAAAATTAAGATAATATATTATCTTCCCCATGTCTCCAAATTAGCCAACTATGCCTCATCACCAATCCGTGGACCTGGAGATGGCATGGAAACTGAGCAGCCAGCTAAAACTGTGGAAGTAATTGCTGAAGTCCACACTACAAACCGTCACGCCCGTCACAGTCCACACAGGAAAGCTATCTCTTCCCTGAGTCCTGGAGTTCTCCAACTAGGGAAAATACACAATAATAAGTCAGTTGAGATTGAAGCTGTGCGAATACTAGTTCCCAAAGCTGCTATAACTCATGTTGTTCCTACCAAAAATGCTAAAGTGGCTAAATCTCTGGGACACCATAAAGGAGAGGACTTCAGCAAGTCAGGTGGAGTTACAGAATCCAATAAAGAATTTTTTGAGCTAAAAAATGCAGTAGAAAAGCTCAAGAATTCAGAAAGGAGATTGTTACAGGACAAAGAAGGTCTTTCCAACCAGCTGCATGTACAGACAGAGGTAAGACATTGAGGAATGTTTTTTGTGACAATAGATTCATAGTTTTATTTTGTTTGGGAAGGTTGAGGGGATGATGGGATAGTCTGGCCTTCTGCATAAAACAGGCCAAAGAAGTTTGCCAAATAATCTCTGTGTCAAATCCATAACTTCTGTTTGAGCTATATAATATATCTTGATCAAAGAAAGATCTCTAGTCTTGCTTTAAAGACTTCAGATGATGAAGAATCCATCACTTCCCTATGTAAACTGTTCCACTGGTTAGTTACACTCACTTAAAATATTTACCTTTTTTCTGAATCTGTCTAGTTTTAGCTTCCAATTATTGTTCTTACTAAAACCAACTACGTTTTATTTCTGCTCTGTTATGACAGCAGAAACATTATAAACTATTTTAAACATTTTAAAAATATAATCACAAAGGGAGTCTTTTTGACATCACAAACAAAAACAGTGGGAACATGCAAATGGGGGGAGGGGGAAATTGACCTGGTGCACTGTATAATGTATTCTTAGAGGGCAACACTATAAAAGCAAGTTCCAATTCTTTTTTCCTACTGAACACAAATTGCTATACATAGAATACCAGTGGTGTATCTAGTCTAGTATCTTTTCTAAGACAATGGCCTGATGCATCTACCAAATGCTTCAGAAGACTAAAGAAACCCCATATTGGACAACTATCAGATAAATTACCCATAAGACAAGTTTCTTCATAATCCCTTTTAGTTAATAGTTGGGTTATGCCATGACACAGAAGAGTATGTCCTATCTAAATGATTACTCCCTCTGTAAATTAATCTTGCATGCTTGCTTATGTTCACTTTTCAGTAGATAAATATGCTTATTCTTTCAGACATCCGTTATACAGGCTTATTTAAGCAACTACAGTTACAGGATATAGTTGCATGTCTTGAACACCTTAGTAATCATGAGGCTTAAAACATTTTACCTTTCAAATTCCCAAAAGGACACATCTGCCCTGGTTGTAGTTCTTGAACTGTTTTCTATTTCTATAAAAAGGCCTGATGTACTGGGAAATCAGTCTGAATCTTTGTTAGCTAATTGCGTGCCTTTTAGAAAGACGCTGTCATTAGTAACATTACTGTTACACTAGCTGTTCTATTCTTGGCCTATTCTAGGTGAATCGAGAGCTGAAGAAGTTACTTATTGCTTCTGTTGGGGATGATCTGCAATATCACTTTGAACGCATGGCTCGTGAGAAAAATCAGTTGATCCTAGAAAATGAGGCCTTAGGCCGGAATGTGTGTCAGCTGTCTGAACAGTTAGAGCGCATGTCTATACAGTGTGATGTGTGGCGCAGCAAATTTCTGGCAAGCAGGTATGGTTTTACAGTAGTCTGTATCACTATTGTCTGAGGACTCCCCTGGTAAATTATAACAAAATACCCTTTTGAAATAAATATATGCAAGGGAACTGTTACAACAGCCATAGGAATCCCTTCTCTGAACTATAAATCTACCTTGAGAGCTAAGAAAACTTGAACTACCATAGCTCTGCTTTCAGTTTCCAGTCACTATTCATACAGTTTTGAATAATTACTGAAAAATGAGTAGTCCTGTGTCACCTTAGAGACTAACAAAAATATATATAGCATCATGAGCTTTTGTGGGTGATATTTTGAGATGTGTATATGTGCATGTTGTATCTCCTACTTTGAAGGAAAATTTCCAATGGAATCAGCTGTGTGAGGGATTAGAGAGGCCAGCCTTTTTCCTCTAAAATGGTAGTTGGCAGTATTAGTAACTATTAGCCCTTCAAATCCATGGCTATTCCTGCATCTGCAGATGTGGATGCAGATAGCTGTGGTTCATTTTTTACACATGTTGCTGCTGATACAAATTTTGTATCTAGAACTCTGCACATTTGCAGATATCTGCTGGCTATTAATTTGTTTCTAAAAGATTCATGTCTAGATCATCTAACCACAGCTTTTAGTCTCAGGAGAGAGGCAAGTACATAAGCATGAGACTGAATTCACTTGTTAGCCCCCTTTGACTTACTTCCATAGGCCATGCTTGAGGCACACTGGTGGAGCAGCCTATCTAGTAGAGATGTAAATGGGTAACTGGTAGGCATTGCTTTATCGACATGCTTAATGAGGTAATTGCTTGACTGGTGGGGTGTTCCATTCCAGCTGGGCCTGCTGCACAGTAGAGATGTAAAAGAGTAGTTGTTTAAAAGCCTAGACTTACCAGTCAGTTGAGCTGACTGCTTGCATTTCTCACACACTCACCCTAGCTACCTCTTATCAGAAGCAACAAGGGAAGGAGAAGCTGGAGCAGGTGCCAGGAGGAGCCAGCTTAAAAGCCAGTTCCTTCAGCACCATCTCCACAGTGCCACTTGCTCTCCTTCCTGGGCTTGCCACAAACAGAGGCTGCTCTGGCAAGAGCCCCTGTCCACAGGTGACCCAGCTCCCCGCAGGAGCTCAGTCCTGGCCTGTGCCAGGTCCAAGAGCTACCCTTGGTGTGGCTCTGCAGTTTAAATGTAAATAGGAGCTGGGCTGCCTATACACCTAGCTCTTACAGCATTTAAAGTGCAGAGCCACAGCAGGGTTAGCTCCTTCTGAGTACCTTCCCTTATCGACTAATAGTGTAGTCATTATAAATTGTACCAAATTACCTGCCTCTTAACACCCTTACTGCATAGTTAAATATAGTTTAACCGGTTAACATTTGAAATGGGATTTTACATTCCTGTTATATAGTCCCTACTCCTTGTTTACCTTCTTTCTAAAAAACTTTATTCTCCAGTGCTGTTACTTATGACATTTGACTGCATTAACTTGTCCCCTAGCACTTTTTATAATTTTAATAGAGACTCCTGTGGGTTTTTTTTTTTAATCAACTTGATATTGGGTGGCTTGCGGTTTTGAGTTTAAACAGTGTTACTGTGAATCTGGATAAATTGTAGTAGACACGGGTAAGAGACCCAAGGTTTGTGCCAAACAAATCGAAATTGGAAAACAGTCTGCACACAAGGATCCCTATTACTGGATTATATTTATTCAATCTGTAGCAAACTCTGATAAAATGAAGTTTCAGCTCCTTGAAATACCGTCTTCATGCAACAATCAAATGCATAGTCAACCAAAAATAAGTGAATTTATAAAAATAAGGAGTCCTATGGCATCTTAACAACTAACATTTATTGAGGCATAAGCTTTCATAGGTAAAACCCACTTCCTCCAAAAAACTCCTGATACTTGCGTTGGTTTGGTCTTTATAACTTTGCTCATATCGTCTGTTGGGTCATGTGGCTTCCCCTACAAACCTGAAAAGGCAGCCTGATTACAAGACATTTACTATTCCTCAATTTAAAAAAACAGGCAAACACCGGTTTTGACTTCTGTTAATCCTTGAAATGCTTGATATGTTAAAACCATGTCCACAACAGAACAAACAGAATTCTAAATTGCTTGTTTAAAAGTAGCTGATTTATTAGAGATTTCCTCCTTTGCAGAGTCATGGCTGATGAACTAACCAATGCCAGAGCAACTCTTCAGCGCCAAACCAGGGATGCACAAAGTGCAATTCAGGATATGTTAAGTGAACGTGACCAGTTCCGTCAAGAAATGATCGATACACAGAAGTATGATTACTCTTTACACACGTTTTTTTCCCCTGTTACTCTGTGCATCTATTACAGGGCCCTCCATTCTGGTAGTCTTCTGGCCTAGAATCAATTCTCAACACTATAAATACTTGTCTACTAGGAATAAACATGTGATTGCTATGCATGGAACCCTCTTGTTGGCAGTCTTTCAGCAGAAAGATTGAGGGAGTAATACCCATTAAGAATTGTTAGCCCTGTGTGAAGACTGAGATCAATCATTCAGCAAAAGATAATGTATGGGGACCTCAGTCTTCCTGACTTAGTCCACCGCTTGCCACCAAACCCTCATTATGATGGGCTCCTCAGGATTTGCAGTTTATTACCATGCTAGTGTTTGGTGAATGGCCATATGTCCTAATCTTGTTTAAATATTTACTTATTTGTTTGTTTCCTTCTGTTTATTTTTTGTTAGTTAGATTGTAAGTTCCTTAGGACAAGATGGCCTTTTTGTACAGCACCATGCCTATTATATTTGTGTCATGATTTACTCATCATTAATACAACAATTCAATTTTTTCTTGAACAGATTGTTAGAAGAGCTGCTGGTTTCACTACAGTGGGGGAGGCAGCAGACTTATTATCCTAGTGCTCAACCTCACAGTACAGCAGAGCTAGCAGCAGTGAACCATAAGCTGGCTAAAGCAGTGAAATCCCACCTTCTTGGAAATGTTGGCACTAACACTCCAAAAAAGACTCCCCCATCAACAGAGTTCTGCAACACTCCTGCTGAGAAAATGGCTGAAATGGTAAAACCCTTACTGTAGCACTCAATTTGTGCCCCTTTCAGCACTGCATGGGTGTGGGTGAAGCTTCCAGTTCACTTCCAGAAATTTTCTGGTGAATGAAAATTGATTACAATCTACTGAGAGCAGAGTGCAGAAGCAATACATTGGGTTTTTTTAAGCAAATACTTAAGCTGGAAAAATTGTCCCTTCTCTACACTTTCCCCAGAGCACCAGCAAGTATAACACCATTATAGAGGTTGAACCTCTCATCTAGGACTCTCTGGTCCAGCAACATCCGTGATCTGGCAAGGCCACAGGTGTTGTTGGCCCAAAGAGCACTAGGAGCACAGCAGCCTGGGTAACTCCCCTGGGCAGCAAAGCCCCTCCACCCTGGCGGCTGCTGCCCCTAGTGGCTTTGGCAGCCCAAGGGCCTGTGGAGCCTTCTTCTGCTAGACCCCAGAATTTGTCAGCAGAGGGATGGAATTGGTATCCCTTGGTCAGGCAAATTCCCTCATTCAGGAGTGGTCCAGTCCCGAGGCTGGCAGACCAGGGAGGTCCAACTTGTATCGTTTTTCAGTAGCACCCTTTACTGTAGCATCTAATCTCTGTACCACTAATTTAGATGTGCATGGTGATCACCTATAGAAAATTCTGTTCTTTGCCTTCTTCAGGTTAGCCAAAGTCTAAGAGAAATCTAATGTATAAACTGGGTTTAAGACTGTCCTTGCCAGCTTTGATACTGGCGCATACCTGAGGACTGGGAATTCAATTTCAAAATAAATGGTTTTATATTTGGTGCAAGGAGATTAGAACAGTAAGTCTGAAACAAGGATTTAAATGCTCAGTTGTAGTGACTATGTAAATGAGCAAGTTATCTAGAGACTATGTGTAGTTGGGCTGGAATAACAAACAGGAAGACTTAAAATGGAAAGTATTGTTTCCCCTTCACGTGTAGCTGTCAAATTGCTGAAATGATTGGCGCAGTGTTTAATTGTAGGCTAGGGAACTAACCTGGTCTTACCTTGAGAACTGAGAGTGGTAAGGAAGAGGAAAAGGAGGGAGGTGGGGCAGGAGTCAAAATCGGTACTATGTTCAAAGTAAGAACCCACACCTAAAATATAAAGTTTAATACAGATGGAAAAATATTGGGGAAGATTAAAAATAAAAGTAGGGGAGAAAGTAACATTTCCCTTTGTGTTTTGTTATCGTTGGAGTATGATCTTTTTCCATAGGAGGAGGATCCTATGCATAACACTTCCCAAAAAAAGTATTTTAAAACATGCTTCCTAATAGACGTGAGCCATCTCTGGGTGTGTACTGGTTGGCTATCAGTATACTTATCAAGCAACTGAAGACACAAAGCATTGTATGTAGTTGTGGCACATTGTTGGACTCAAGCATTTTTGAAAATACCTTTAATTAGACCAAAGTTCACTCAACTCTAGTCTTCCCTTTTTGCAATGAATGTGATTGTATTCTTGAAAAATTGCCTTAGTTCTGATTTAAGCAATTCCAAATTTGTGACTCTCTTCTCTGCAATGTGAAATCATTAAATGTTAAGAATTACAATTCAAGATAAATACTGACCAAGATATGAAGACTGATAAATTGTACCATTCACCTGAACAGCAGCCATCAGCTGCTTTATGTAAGTTAGTCAGGGATAAAGTATCTTAGATTAACCATCCAATTCATGCGTGGTTTTAAAATTTTGTTTTAGGTCTTGCGAGTGTTGGATCCAACTGCCAGTAATGAAGCGTCACCAGAAGTTTCCTTTTCTGAGCCTTCCTCACCCTCTTTTCTTTCCACAAAGAAGAACATCGGTCGGTTTCACCCATATACCAGATATGAAAATATAACTTTCAATTGCTGCAATCATTGCCAGGGAGAACTGATAGCTCTTTAAAATCACTGTGCTAAAAACAAAATAAATTCAGGCTGTCTGTGGATATAACAACTTTTCCTTAAGAGACACTAGTCATTTATCCATTCTGATTTCCCTCTTTGCTTTTATCTTCCAGGGATAAGGGGGCTATGCTGGCACCAATGTACTTTTTACTTCCTATAACTTCCATACTTAGTGACCTTGTTGTGGGACCATGGTTAACGCTTAAATCTACAAATGCAAGTCCAGGATGTTAATGATAGTACAATTTATAGTGTAAATAGCCCCTTATATATGCAGGATTTGTAATTATATTATGAAATCTTTAATGGATTTCTGCTCAGGGGAAGACAAAAGCATGAAAATATTTAAGAATATAGACAAGTGCTTAATCTCTGAATAGTGCTTACTTTAAAAGGAGCTGAGATAAATGATACTGGGAGAAACATTGAGATAAGTATTTTCATTTAAAGGGGCATTGGAATACACAGTCAGTTCCATGCTATTCATTTATAGTGTTACTCAATTTGCTGTGGTGCTATGATCAGATTTTTATAATCCTAGTACGTTACAAGATCTGGTGCAATTAACAGTATGGGTCCTTACAAGTGCAGAAGGGGATGGCAAGGCCCTGTTCAGAATTCTTCCTTTACCCTTCTCTAGCAGAGAAGCCTCAAGAAGAAACTTTAATGAAACTGAAAGGCATTAAGTATGAGTTGGTGCAGAATGGATTCTGGAAGCTGTGTGCACACACTGAAGTTATTTTTGTGTGTACATGTTGTTGAAACAAGTGAATGGAAGCATTTTAACTTGTGGAACCAAGTTGCTGCATAGCTGATACTCAGCAAAGATATATACCTCCGCTAGTGGTTAGTTTAAAAAACGGAAGCTTACCCTAGACTTAGCAGCAGGTTATTACAAATGAAACTTTAACTGGTATTATGCTCACAGGAGGGGCCAGCATCATCAAATACTTGGTATGTATAGGCAGACACAAAATACTATATTTTTACTCATTTGCTTTATTAGGTTAATGAGACAAAGTTCAAAGAATGTACTTGTAACTAGTCTGCCAAACAGTCTGAGAAGACAGGTTGCAGAGTTCTCTTCTTGCTTATTTGCACGTAGACAGGATATGAGTCTTCCATCTGTTATTAGGGAGCTTATAAAATCTTTTTGAACAAAAGTCCTATTCATAACAATCATGCTGATGCCTTGCAGCACTTCATTATCCTCCATCCCCCAACAAGCACAGTATACATAGCCTTGGCATGTAATTAAGGAAAAGGTCTCTAAACCAGTTGCTGTAACACTTTTGTTTGGTAAATCTAGTACTGTATACAGGGTATAAAAGGTATAAGTTTTTGACTGCTACACTTGGTCATGTTTTGGCCTGTACAATTAATGTTACAATAAACATTCTCTACTTTTATCACAAATGAAGATTGGGCATTTGTACACTTGACAATCTTGAATTCCATGCGTTCTTTGCAGAATCCAAGAAATACAAGATTGAACTCCATCCGAGTTACAAGAAAGCTAACTGATGGATATTAAACTTAAAAAAACAACAAATGGTACTTGGTCCTGCCATGAGGGCAGTGGACTGGACTCAATGACCTCTCAAGGTCCCTTCCAGTTCTATGAGATAGGTATATCTTCATATATTAAATGGTTTTAACAAAACATGTAGATGGTATCATGAGTTTTCGTGAGCACAGCCCAATTCTTCAGATGACCAGAGTTTGTTAGTTTGTACAGGATAAACTTAAACAATAAATGGTCTGGTAGCACTTTATAGACTAACTCTGCTATTCCCTGAAGCTGATGGGTATTAGTTTTTGTGCTATGGTGTACCTCATAGGAACAGATTCCTCATCAGGCTTTGCAGTCTAAGAAAACAAACATGTTAAATCCACAGATTTGTCAGCATATTACACTGGGAAATAAGTAAGCTGATTACCTGTAAGCAGAGTTCAAGATCACTTCCGCACAGTCATGCTTTTATGATGTGCCAGTGGTGCAGTTCGGAAAGCAGAACCATCTAATAGAAGTGCCCATTGGAATGTTCTTGTGCCCTGTTCTCCTCTTGCACCCAAGAAGAAGCCTAGCATGCAGACTGCCTCAATTCTTTCCACCATCTCCTCAAGTCCAAATTTGTCATTGTCAGAGACAGTAAAGTAGACAGAAGAATGAATGGGCTGCAGCCATCTCAGTTATTTTTGTGAAAGTAAAACAGTCAATGATGGCATTTTTTTACCATTATTAAACAAGATGTTAGAATAACTCTTCCCCTACCACTTAAACAATTATAAAGCTGCATATCATTTATACTTTGAAGCCTCACATTTTAAGCAGGAATATGATAAGCCTAATATTATTTTTCAATGGAATAAGAACTCCCACTAAGTCATAGGCTAGGTCTACACTATAGCTTTTTTTGGGGAAAAAGCTACGCAAATCATACTCTGCAAGCTAGATGTATCCTTAGTTTGCTACACTAGCTAAGTTGCACTTCAGGATTTTTTCTGTACTACAACAGATACCTAAAGGTTTTAACAATAATGGGGTTGTGGTTTGGATTGTTTTTAAAACTAACTTGAAACTGATGGGACTTTAACATACAGTTCAGCTACATCTACTAAGCAGGTCTTTTCCAACACAACTGTCTGAAACCTACCACACTTCCTTGCTATACTTGCAGTGCATTTTTGGAAATCTAGATTATTATCCCATAATGCCTCAGTAAGAGCACTCAGCTGCACTCTTGGTGGCTGAAAGATCAGTGAAACAAGTTACAAAGGCATACGCTGTTAGTAAGATTTAGTTATATTGGGTACCAATACACACCGGCTGCGTCTAGACTGGCAAGTTTTTCCGCAAAAGCACTTGCTTTTGCGGAAAAACTTGCCAGCTGTCTACACTGGCCGCTTGAATTTCTGCAAGAACACTAACGATCTCATGTAAGATTGTCAGTGTTCTTGCAGAAATACTATGCTGCTCCTGTTTGGGCAAAAGCCCTCTTGCGCAAATGCTTTTGCACAAGAGGGCCAGTGTAGACAACGCAGTATTGTTTTGCGCAAAAAAGCTCCAATCGCGAAAATGGTGATCGGGGCTTTCTTGCGCAAAACCGCATCTAGATTGGCACGGACGCTTTCCACTAAAAGTGCTTTGCAGAAAAGCGTCCGTGCCAATCTAGACACTCTTTTCCACAAATGCTTTTAACGGAAAAACTTTTCCATTAAAAGCATTTGCAGAAAATCATGCCAGTCTAGACATAGCCACCATGTTTAGAGTCAGCCAGTTAATAGTATAGTGTAGACTAGACTGAAGTAGTACAATGCCAGTATCACATGTGAGCATGAATGCTTATGTGCTCCCTGCAGGTGTGGGCAGGGAACCAGCTGCAACTGTTAGTGTAAATATGAACCATTTTGCACTTTAAACATTTTGCACTTTGAACACCTCACTGAGCTAGGGTTGCCAGGTGTCCACTATTGACCTGGAGAGTCCGGTATTTTCAGCTCCGGTCTGGTAAAAAAAATAAAATTAAATTAAAAAATACCGGACACTTAATGTCTGGTATTTTCTGATTTTTTTTTCCCCGGCCAGGGGGCAAAAATACCAGACTGTCCGTCCGTCTGACCGAACACACACACAGAGAGAGAGAGAACAAACTAACACGGCTACATTTCTATCACTATTCCACAGAGAGAGAGAGAGAGAGAGAGCAAACAGGCCCAGTCCCTTCCCCCACACACGCCGCTTACCTGGTTCTGCAAGGGAGCTGTCTGGCCTGGAGCAGGTAGGGACTTTGCTCAACAACTTTAGTCTCCTCCCCCCACCCTTTTTTTTTTCCAACAAAATGTTTTCCCTGGGTTTTATTTTGGAGGGGAGGAGAGGTTCGGTATTTTCGGTTAAACCATCTGGCAACCCTATACTCAGCTCAGAAAGTAGTCAGCCCAGAAATGAAAGAATGAAATAGTGAGCCTTCTGTGAGATGTCACTTTGTCCACTACAGCATCTTCAAAGATAAATATACATTACACAGGCCCCTGAATGCATATGCTAAACACAACTAAATCAAAGCATCTGCAAACAGTTAAAGGAAATGAGGAAAAGTAAATGTGCACTCTGGAAAATCTACTTTAGACTTTGGTCAACATTAGGGTTTTCTTTCCCCCCCTCAAAAAAGGGATTTAAACTTGCCAGTTATATGGACATTTATTTTCACTTTGGCTCAGTGGGACTGAGCAGCACTAAGTCATACACACAACAGAATCAGGTTTTGTCATTTCAAATTATAAATAAATAAATACATAAATAAAAGGTAAATATTAAACATACTGTCAGTTATGAGAAAAATTTAAACCATTATTTAAAGATTTTAAAATACCACAAAAAGGCAGCAACTGTAAAGAGCTGCAGCTCAAGCCATATAAAGTATGGCAGCTGACACTATTATTTGAGATGCATCAAACCTTCAGCTGTAATGGTCGGTGAAGCGGAAGGATTTAGGTTCAGAAATGGTGCAGAGGATATTCTGGATTTGTTTTGCTCTTCTGGCTTCTAGCCTAAGTTGCCTTGATCTCTCTTTGGCAGCCAGTTCCTCTGCTCGCTTTTCCTCTCTCTTTCTTTTTAGCCATCTGTGGAGAAACAACCAACTTTAGAAGCACTGATGGTGAGAGGTGAAAAACACTTTCTTTAATCACCAGTCATCACTTTTGGTTGTACTCAAAGCAAACAACTGTTCTCTTACCTGACAATCTAATTAGTTAATTAAAGCCCCTCCATCACTTAGCAAGCAGGCTACATCCAGGAATTAATTGTTTTCTAGGGTACAAATACATGGAGTGAAACTAGTGGGATAGATCTACAAGAGGGTCAGCAGTGAGAAGGAAGAGTAGGACATTTCCCTGAAGCAAATATAGTCTCTTTTCCAGAAACCTTAACTGATCTACAGCCTATGTTCCCAATACAACTTCCTATCAAGGTGCAGCTCCATAATCAACAGTCTGGAAACTAGCAAGAGTTGGTGATGTTGGAAGGGAGCTAGGGAGGGCACTGGCTGAAAGCTTCAGTTGGATGAATGCAAGGAGGTTGGGAGTAGGGATGTGAAGGTTTAACCAGTAAGCCTTACCCTTAATGGACAGGGTGCCCTAGAAGCATGGGCTACTCTGACCGAGATGCCCTGGCCTGCCACAGGCAGGGGTTGATCTGGCTGCGCTGGAATGGGGACGTTCCAGCCCAGCTCATCGCCTTTTAATCAGTTAGCCAATTTAACAGGATTTTAACATCCCTAGTTGGGACGAGGATCAGAGGAACTGAAAGTGAGTTCACCAGACTCTAGTCACAGTTAGCCCTAGACACCTATGGATCTTCAGACTGCCAGGCCCCTCCCCCCAAAAAATCAAGGCTTAAAAAGGATTCAGTTTTCACCATCTGTAAAAAATGTGAAGGACCCCATTTCTGTGTTCAAATGATAGCACATCTGACATCAAGCCAGTTCCACCTTGAGTGCTAACGAATTGTTTTGCACAGGTTTTATAAAGGTAAAATTAGTAAGTTATTTCATGCCATTTCCCTTCTGGTTTAGAAAAACAAATAGTAAAGGAATTTTCAGCCAGCATCAGAGCTAAGGTTTTAATCATTAATTGGACTTTCTTTTGTCAGTGAAAATCACTCAACACTGGATTGTGCACCTTAGCTGGACGCATGTAGTATATAACAACCTTATTTTATACTGTTATTTTTCATACAAACAGCATCCATAACAGAGGCCCAACTTAAATGTATACCCCAAATTAAAAAACATAGAAGAACTAAAAAAGAGCCAGCATGGCTTAACCATATAAAAGAAGCAGTGAGAGATAAAAAGACATCTTTTAAAAAGTGGAAGTCAAATCCTAGTGAGGTAAATAGAAAGGAGCATAAACTCTGTCAAATTAAGTGTAAAAATGTAATAAGAAAAGCCTAAGAGGAGTTTGATGAACAGCTAGCCAAAAACTCAAAGGCTGCATCTAGACTGGCAAGTTTTTCCGCAAAAGCAGACGCTTTTGTGGAAAAACTTGCCAGCTGTCTACACTGGCCGCTTGAATTTGCACAAGAACACTGAAGATCTAATGTAAGATTGTCAGTGTTCTTGCGCTCCGCGCCCCCCATGCAGCACGGGGAGTGAGGAGCCCAAATGGCCATTTGGGCTCCACGGTCCCCCGAGTGAGAGGCAGGAGGGGGAGGAGAAGTGAAAGAGAGAGACAGAGAGAGGCAGGAGATGGAGGAGAGCTGAGAGAGAAATGGGAGGGGGAGGAAGTAGAAGGAGAGAGAGAGACGGAACGAGAGACCGTAGGCTCAGGAGAGAAGACCGACGTGGAGGAGAGACCTGAAAATCCTGTCTTATGACGGGATAATTGGCTAGTTATAATAAGAAAAGCCAAAAACTCACAAAGGTAATAAAATGTTTTTTTAAGTACAACAGAAGCAGGAAGCCTGCTAAACAACTAGTGGGACCCCGGAGGATCGAGATACAAAAGGAGCACTTAAAGACGATAAAGTCATAGAGGAGAAACTAAATGAATTATTTGCTTCAGTCTTCATGGATGAAGATGATAGGGAGATTTCCAAACCTGACCTGTCCTTTGTAGGTGACAAATCTGAAAGTGTCATTAGAGGAGGTTTTGGAATTAACTGATAAACTTAACAGTAACAAATCACTGGGACCATATGGCATTCACCCAAGAGTTCTGAAAGAACTCAAATGTGAAATTGCAGAACTATTAACTATGGTTTGTA